GTCAGAAATAAAAGGTAAACATATTTAACGCTTTATACATACGATCTTACACATTAGCTTCATAATGCGATCAACTGAACTTCGTAAAACATTTTTTTTAGATGAGGAACATACATATTTAAGCTCGGACAGCATCGATACTTCTGATAAGGGCAACATTGACGAGAAAATTTACACACAGGAATATCTTAATAGTATTAAGATTTCAGGATTGCCAAACCATGAATTGAAATTGAAAATAGGGACACCTATTATGTTACTTCAGAATATTTACCATAGAGGTGATTTATGCAATGGAACAAGACTCTTGGTAACACAGTTGGCAAAACATGTTATTCAAACTACCCACATAACTGGAGAATATATAGGTCAAAAGGTCTTGATCCCACAAATGTTTGTTTCCCCCACAGAGACAAGATTTCCTTTTAGAATGAGGCGTAGATAATTTTCGGTAGCTATCGCCTATGCAATGACTATCAATAAAAGTCAATAACAGACTTTGCAAAAGGTTGGCCTGTATTTACCAAAACCAGTATTTTTCCATGGATAACTTTATGTGGCTATATCACGTGTTACTTCAAAAGCTGGTTTGAAGATTCTGATAACGGATACAATGGGTCAGCCACAAACCAAGACTTTTGAACGTTGTATACAAAGCCGTCTTTCATAATGTAAGGAAACAATAGTTGTTTTTTTAAGATTTAGAATTTTACTATTTAAATGGTTTATTTAATTATTTATTAAATGACATTTTAGTTTATTTATTCTTTTCTTTAATGATTGTCCTCATTGTCGAGAATCAAACATAAAACAAATAGAATACAAAATAATAATGGTATTTGCAGAATTAATAAATTTAAAAAAAAATACAATTATCCAACTAATCAATTTGATGACTATGAATGCTCTTCCAAAATTAAAAGTTTCTATAATACATTAGCGTTTTGGTATTATAAAAAAAAATTAAATACTCAGCTTCATGAACCTTGCAAATCCGCGGATCCCCACCTAGTACAATATTGTTTTGGATTAATTTATCTCGAGTCATGTGCAAATGCGCACCTTGCACATATCTAAATACGAGCCTGCAAGGGTGGAACACAAGGTATAAGAGAGTGGCACGTGCCAAACTTCAGATAGCAAGGTTGCATCCATTAAATTTGGGAGGAAAATTCGATCGGCCCTTATCCAACAAACTTTATCATTTTCTATACTTTTTTCATACACACAAATTTCTTGATTAGTATTGTATTCGACCGTCTTTGACATATAATTTATGGGACAAAAAAAAAATTGTTTGTGTTGGTGTCGGATCTCGCACTGCAGATTCGATTTATTTTATTGAAAACTCGTCATTTCATGAAACCTAAGAACATTTAAATGGCCAAGCTAAATCGGTTAAATCTTAATATCAATTTGTAATTCAGTTTAGAAATTAATGGTCATGGTCAATTTTTATAACAATTCGAGAATTAATGGCCAATAAATAATATAAGCATTCGATGAATCTCTTATTCTTACTCATTTGTAATTTACTTCGTATAGTATGATTAAAAGAATGCTTTCATCTTACTTCTTGAATAATAGTTGGTTTGAAATATGTTGAATTTTTTGTTTTGATCTGTTTGAGTTCGTATTATGGTTCATGACTGATTGAAAGATTGGTTGTTTGCTGGATTAGAGTTAGAACAGATTTTGATTCTTTGATATGGGCCAAGTAGTTGTGGAGCTCTCGAGGCTTGGAAAATGTACGACTGTGTATTAATTCTATGATTCATGACCATGTTGAAAAATTGTTGATTGCTGAATTAGAGTTAGAACAGATTGTGATCCTTTCCTATGAGTATATCGATTTAGAGTGTTGGAGTGGTCGAGGACTCGAGGGTATGACTTTGGAGACTGTCACTCCCATCCCTTACGATGTGGTCAACATCTACAAGATGGAGAAAAACAAAAATAGATTCGCTAAAGGCGAATTTTCAACATCTAACCAGAAAGGCACTGACGTGCTCACATAAAAGAAAACACGATTTCGGGTGCGAGCGCTCCTAGCGAGGAAGTCTGCTTGTTGATTTCTGGTTCTCGGCTCAAATACAATGTTGATGTCGGAGGAGAAGCCTCCAAGTTCCTCAAGTTCTTGCAGCTCTGTTGCAAATGCTGGCCATTCTTTTGGTCTAATAACCATTTGTACTAACTCCTGTGAGTCTGTAACAAAATAATTACAGTACCGGTTGTGTCTATCTCGACATCTGAAAGCCCAAATCAGGCTGAGTAGTTCGAGATGGAGAGGAGAGATTCCTCGGCAGCTTCCTTGTAGGCCTAGGAGGTCTATAGATCCATCTTGAAGGTGCAAGATCCAACCCACACCGCTTGTGGGATTATCTTCTTTCCAAGATCCATCTATTCGACAAGTGAAAATTGGTGGATCCATAACTTGAGAATCTATATTTTCCGTTGAAAGATCAATGGAGTCCGTATCTTGGTTAGCTGAGAGCCATGCTTTGCTTTCCCATAGTGCAAGATCAAGTGTTTCAGATGGAGATCGGTCTTGTCCATTGTATAATTTATCATTGCGTGCTTTCCAAATATACCAAACAAGCTAAGGGAACACCCTAGTCGACTCTGTAAAGTTCTCTCGATTTAGGATGTTTTGTAATAGGTAATCCACATTCTCGTAGAGATTTTGTGATAGGAACACCTGTGTCGCAGAGGGAATTGATGATAGGGCCCAACATTGGAGAGCTGGTGGACATAAAAATATGGTATGATTGATAGTTTTTTCTGCCTCTCCGCATCTAGGACAGCTGGGATCCGTTCCTATATGCCTTTTGGTTAGGCGCTCATTCACTGCCACCGCTCTAGATAGCATTTGCCATAAGAAGTGACACATCTTCTTTGGTGCTTTAAGCCTCCAAATTTCTCTTTTTAGGGGATTTAAAGAGGGTTGTTGGCAGATGAAGGCTGTTTCTTCGTCTAACTCAGAGCGTGCTAATTTGTAGCCCGATCGTACGGAGTATGCTCCCGTTTTTGAGAGATTCCAACAGTATCCATCATCATTAGGAGTGTGACTTATGTGGATACTGAGTATCAAGGGTATATCACGAGGGTCTATGACATCCCGGATGAGGTGAATATCCCATGTTTTTGTATCAGGGTTGATGAGATCAGAGACTAATAAAAGAGGGTCATTCATCCTTGGGACGCTTTTCGGTGGACGAGCTAATGTATCAGGTAACCATGGATCTTCCCAGACTAGGGTTTGGGTTCCTGTACCAATAGTTCTGCGAGCACCTTTTAGAACTAACTCTTTCGCAGCGCACATACTTTTCCAGCCATAGGATGACCTGGACGCTTTGGGGGCTTTAAACGGGTGCGAATTCTCGAAATATTTACCTTTTAACACTCTAGCCAAAAGAGAGTTTGGGTGTTGTTCAAGACGCCATAATTGTTTAGCCAATAAGGCCCGGTTAAACTCTTCAAGAGATCGAAAGCCTAATCCTCCATCATGTTTTGGCAAACACAGTTTGTTCCATGCAATTCAGTGCATTCCTTTGGAGTTAGAGGCTGAGCTCCACCAGAAATTGGAAATAGCACTAGTAAGCTTTTTACAAAGCTCTTTTGGAAATAGGTAGCATGACAAAGCTCTTTCCTAATATTTCTGTATCGCTAATTGTAATATTGCATGCATTAAAGAACATGTACGGCTTGAAAACATTATAAAGGAGGATATTTTCGGATATAATATCTACTACTTTGACAAGAATCTACAATGAAAGTCCTGCTGTATTATCCCAAAATCAATGCTTTTAAATCCGACCTGGACAGTGAACCAGAATGCATTTTGGGTCAGCGGTCAACCGTTGTTCAACCGCAGGCAAATAAATTAATAGTAATATATATATATATATATATGATATATAATATAGTTAAAAATTAATAAAATGATAGTTATTAGCACAATTTCACAAAACATTTGGTGACAAATTAACACTAAAAATAAAAACAAAAACAAACATGAAGATTAATAGTTTAATACGATAGATGTTTAACATGAATTACGATAATCATAAAATTAATCTAAAATTAACCAAAAGACAAATCTTACTAATAACGAAAGTGAAGTAATAGAAACAAATCATCTATACCTATCTCTATCACCATTATCTTCGGTTTTTACGGCGGCATAGAGAAATCTTCATCAAATCTTTTTTTTTTCAAAAATATTTATATAATTTAGTCAATATTATATATAACTAAAAAAAATGTTAATCAGAATGTCAAAATATACCATCATATAAAGATTCTTTTAAAATCAAACTTTTGGAATTTGTTCAAAATTTATTTTAAACCACCACTCACCGGTGTGACCACTAACTGGTTTGCTAGTTTATCGAGTTTTTGCCGGTTTTTAACGAGTTTTTATGCAGCCGATATTAGCATTAAATTCGAACCGGATTCTCCAGCGAGTCAATATCTGGTCCATGGGTCCGAGTTGGGTTTAAAAACATTGCCCAAAATTTTGTTAGATATTTGTTAATATAATCAATAAAATACATCATTAATGACTTCAGCACACGGACTAGAATAGATCAAGGACAAATCAGTTAGACTTCTGGCAAAACATAGGATGATAATAAATAATAATCAAAGGTTACCCTGACTTGTCTCAAGAATGCGCTGAATCTTGAATAATTAATGAATTTTTCAACTGGATGAGGTGAAACAGATAACCCATACACCAAGCAGTACCGAGAATCATATGGGATCGGGTTTTCGATATCTGGTCACTTCTCCGTGCCATTCTTCTCCATATTTAATCAAAAACTAGCTCCTTTTTCATGTTCTTCACTTCTTTGTTTACTTACATTAGTCTCACACAAGCTATGATCAAACTTGCCAGTGTAGCCCCCTCAGTAGAACTTCCTGGTTTTGCTCGTTTCGCAGTAGGGGGCAGTTCATAGAGATTACTCATTATCTGCCATCCCTTTCATAAGAAAGATCTATATGATGTAATCTTTCATCTCTTCTCTTGGGATTCTGCTTCGTACTCTCTCCAGCTCCTCAATAATTTCTTTGATGAAATCCGCCTCTGAGCTGAGGATTGGAATGACAAAGAAAACCAAATAATTAGGCACAGTCGAAATGCCAATTGAACAAGGGGAGAACGGATTTCATTTGTATCTAACACTAGAAAAAGAAAGTATTATGTATCCTAATTTTACATTGTTTGCCTACTAATTAACCTCCTCTGAAGATATATCAATTCAAAACGAGCACCAACATATGCGAGAAAAAAAAAAATAGGCAGATGATAATCAACAATATAAAAGATCAAGATTATCACAAGCGGTCTCATATTTAAAATCTCCTTATTTATGATAGATGTAGAGGAATGGCAATAAATGTAGAATAATATTCATGGTGGCATGATCTGGAAGGAGAGAAAATGCTTAAGAAACTAATTAAATCCATATATTTCGGAGTCAACTGCAAGTTTTCCTAATTTAAAAACATGGTAGGCAACTAGGGATAAACAATTAGACTTATCATATTTTATACCCAAAAGAATTTTATCTTCCTATTATTATTATTATTATTATTATTATTATTATTATTATTATTATTATTATTATTATTATTATTATTATTATTATTATTATTATTATTATTATTATTATTATTATTATTATTCTATTATTATTATTATTATTATTATTATTATTATTATCATTATTATTATTATTATCATTTTATTATTATTATTATTATTATTATTATTATTATTATTATTATTATTATTATTATTATTATTGGCGTCATGATGAACGGAAAATGATTGTTTGTGTAATATATTATTCAATTCTAACAAATATTAAATTGAATATAAAAGAATAAAATAAAAAAATTTATATTGAGATATGTTTTCTTGAGAAACAGAGGATCTTTCTGTTAGTTATAATTAAGTTTGGTCGAAAATATCATTTGATAATTGAGTTTAATATGTTAAATTAAATGATGTGTGTGAAATAGTGTGTTTTAGAGACGTGTCTATTAAGTAAAAGTAGTTATTTATATTAAGAGTCATAAGTGAAGAGTTACAACTCTTGTTGTTTGTGTTGTTTCACAGACTCTGTTTCACGTTTATATATAAAGACGATGTCTTTGTATTGACAATAACAGTTTTTAATTAATAAAGTTTCAGTTTGTGTTCTTCTTTGTTAACTCAAAAGAGTTATATCTCTCATATTCTGTTTTAACAGAAAGTCTAACTTGGTATCAGAGGCCTGCTGATCCAAGGGCCAGTTCAAATTCAAGCAAAAACAAAAACAGAAACGATGGAGACGACATCTCATCAAATAATTCCAATATTTTATGGCGAAAATTACGATTTATGGAGAATAAAAATGAAGACAATTCTGAAGACAAAGAAATTGTGGGAAGTAGTGGAGAATGGTGTTCCAAAAGAATCAGGGAATGATGATTCAAGAGAGCGAAGACAAGCCGTAAAGGAAACATCATTAAAGGATTTGACGGCACTGCAAATTCTGCAAACTATCGTGACAGATCAGATGTTCTCCCGCATAGAACCAGCACAAACATCAAAGGAGGCTTGGGATTCTCTGCAAACTGAATTTGAAGGAACTCTTCAAGTTTGATTAATCAAACTCCAATCGCTGAGAAGAGAGTATGAAAATTTGAAGAAGAATGACAGTGATAACATCAAGGTTTTCACGGGAAAATTAATTGATTTGGGAAATCAATTGAGAGTCCATGGAGTAGAGAAAACGTATTATCAAATCGTTCAAAAGATACTCATCTCTCTTCTAGAAAAGTTCGATAGTATCATTGCCGTACTGGAGCAAATAAAGGATTTAAAAACTTTGGCCATGTCAGAGTTGATCGGTACGCTTCACGATATGAGAGTTCGACTGAAGGAGCATTCTATGGAAAAAAGAAACGTGAAGACAAGCAGGCCGAGAAATGGTGTGGCGTTTGCAAACGTAACAATCACAACGAGAGTAATTGTTGGAAGAAGGAGAACAAAGGTGTTCTTTCACCAAAAGGTTGTAAACAATGAGAGAAAGTGTTTCGTGTGTAACAACCCGGGACATCTTGCAAAGAACTGCAAACTTAGAAAGACCGAGAGTGCGGATCTTAATATTGAAGAACAGAAGATGACTCAGAAGATGAAGGTCACATGCTGTTTAGTTCAGTTGAAGAAGAAACATCATCAAAAGTAGATGATGAAACATGGTTAGTTGACAGTGGATGCACTAACCATATGACCGAGGAAGTTAAATACTTCATCATTCTTGATCGAAGCATAAAGGTTCCGATCAAAGTGGGTAATGGTCAACATGTAATGACGGCAGAAAAAGGAAACATCCAAGTGATGACAAGCCAAGGAGAGAAGATCATCAAAGTTCTAGTGCCGGGTTTAGCAAGAAATCTATTGAGTGTATCTCAAATGATATCAAAAGGAAACATAGTATTATTTGAAGACAATAGATGCCTCATCAACGATCCTCAAGGAAGACAGATTCTAAACATTAAAATGAAGCATAAGAGTTTTCCACTCAGATGGAGTAACTTAGATGCAAGTACCTTACTTGCAAGTGAAGAAGAAGCTGCAGTTTCACAGGAAAAGATGGAGCAAACGGTTGATGCAATTGACTTGAATGTTGATCCATTGGAGAACTAAGGAGGACGTTTGGAGTAAGACCAAAACTCAATTAAGGAGGAGTATTAGTTATAATTGAGTTTGGTCAAAATATCATTTGATAATTAAGGTTAGTATGTTAAGTCAAAAGGTATGTGTGAAAAGGTGTGTTTTAGAGCCGTGTCTATTAAGTAAAAATAGTTATTTATATTAAGAGTCATAAGTGAAGAGTTACAACTCTTGTTGTTTGTATTGTTTCACGAACTCTGTTTCACGTCTATATAAAGAGGATGTCTTTGTATTGACAAACACAATTTCAATTAATAAAGTTTTAGTTTGTGTTCTTCTTTGTTTACTCAAAAGAGTTCTGTCTCTCATATTCTGTTTTAACAAAAAGTCTAACACTTCCTTCGTCTGGTCCTGGACCTGGAGCTTGTAATGTTCACCGCAAATGCCGGTAAGCTCCATTTCAATATATCTATTTTCATTCGGCTTTGTATACTTTTATAAATATACAAATCTGTCACCAAATATACAAATCTGTCACCATATACATTGGTCTTATCCTGGTTGCCACTTTGGGTTGACATTCAATCCGAATCCAGACGGGAATTCTAAATCCAAGAGAAAATCAGACAGAACGGAGTAAAGCTCTGCATTCTCTGTTAAATGAGTTTCTCTGTTGTTTCTTGATATTTGATTGTTACTTCTGATCCAATTAAACTTTTATTTGAAAGACAATTATGGCCGCTGACTTTCATTATATAGAAAAATTGGGTACAGAAATATTAATATATAAAAGAAAAAGGTTAAGAATCTGAAAAATATCCCATCCAGGATCGATCCAACATTTTTGCTTTGCTTCATTTAACTCGGTTTACTAAAAATGACCTCTTAAGAAAAAAAAAAGGTTAGTAAGAATGACTTCTACCATATATATTTCTAATTAGCTGCCTCTCTTAAAATTAGTATGAGCTCGTTATAATATATAAAAATAAATAAGAACCAGTCTTGTTTAAGTGTGACTGTATGAGATTTGTTTCTTTCGTTTGAATAGGTTTTCTCTCTATAGGACCATCAGAGATTATGTAAACTGAAACAAATATACTGAATATCTTAAAGCCAAGTAAGTAGACTATTTTGTTTAGTTTAGTTTTTATTTTTATTTTTTGTTAATACGTAGAAATTTGTGAAGGTTTTAGAATTAAAGATTTTGGGTTTACAGGTGTTTGGGATTTAGGGGTTATTCGTTACTGTTTAGAGGCCGCGTGTTTTCACGTTAACCTTTTCTTTCTTGACTCACAAGTCACAAGAAATAAATTTGTATATGTATATGTATATGCAGATCAAGTAGAGTACCTCTTGTCACATAACTTCAAGCCCATCTTGTTGGAGACAGACTCCAAAGCTTCCTTCCAGTTCTTGATCTCCTCACCACTTGAAGTCATTGCCAGCTTCCAGAAGTTTCGACCAAACTCTCCCTTCTGGCGCCTCACATCATCTACTCTCACCTTGTAGAAGATTGGAACCACTTTTAGTTGATTATTGTATGCAAGCCTGTTCATCTCTGCCAGTTCGTTTAAGCACCATCGAGACTGTGCATATCTTTTGGAGAAGATTGCTAATGCAATATGTGACTCACCGATCCTTTTGAAGAGGTGTTTTAGGTCTTTTCCCTTTTGTTCGTCTCTGTCAATGAAGAAATTTATCCCGCGACGTTCAAGGGCAGCAGCTAGGCGGCTGAGGAAGCCATGGCGAATTTCCTCTCCTCGGAAATTGACGAACAGTTGATTCAGCGGACGCTGGATCATCCGAGAGAAGGCCACCATCACTTTTTTTGTTTATAGAGAAGCAAGAGAAAACTTGAAACCGTAATTGTTTGTATGTATGAAGTAATAAGTTGTTTGATTTGACTCGAAGTTAGTATGTTCTTGTAATATATTTATAGGCGGGGCCATAGCCTTGGTGTTTTGTCTTTTTTAGATTCATTAAACAGCAAACTATATATTAGATAATTACCCTTCTCTCTAAAAAAAAAACTATATATTAGATAAATATTTGGTTGAACTAGAAAATATCCACTTTCGTGTGGAACTAGTACGCTATTAGGTATACGGTTTATGTATATGGCTATATTCCTTTTATTTTTCATTCTATGGCTACATACATACATAGAGTTTTGTTGATTAATAATGATATTAATTCTAGCAACAAACAAAAATATTAATCATAATGGTTGTTGAGATGACCCAGAGGCACAAGAAAATTTTGAAACTTAAATAAACAAATATAAATAGGACTTAAAATGATTTTAAAAAAGAACAAAGAGAAGAGTGAAAGAGACATGAGATTAATGAAGGAATGATGAGAAAGTCAATACACAGAATGATTCTACGTGCGTTGGTAGTTTGTTTACTAATGAAAACTTCTTGTCGGAAACCCTCTGTTTTGCTTACTAATAAAAACTTCTTGATATTTAAACTCTATTGGCTTTTGAAACTCACACATGGCAAATTTCAAAGTTTAAAACTGACCTAGTCGAGTCAATATATTGTCGGATCTGTAGTTTGATCACTTGGATAAAGTCTGTCTATATATTGGTCGGTTTGATAACGTCAATCTTTCACTTCCAGTGTATTATGCGATCACTTTCTGTTCACCACGTCTCATCAACAAAGACAAAACGCACAATAACTGAATCACATAAATACATAACTAAAGATAAACATAAAGCGAAACCAAAATCGCTCCCATTATTGACAGAGATGATCTGATAAGACATTCCATATTGATTTTTTCTTCTCCACCGGATATTCTAAGAAATATTTACACAGGATGACACTTTCTTAGTTATAAGCTACACGTTTTGACACTTTCAAATGAAGTGGCACTTTATTATGTCTTCAAATGAAGTGGCACTTTATTATGTCTTCTACACCTGAAATAATAATACTACCCTCTAGCTTAAATTTGTCACAAATAAATCGGTTATAATATTTTCACTAAACCAGACCTCTATTCTACAAACTGAGTTATTATAACCGAATTTTTTAAAGATAGTGCCCTTAAAGATAAAAAGAAAAAAAAAAGAACAAGGCAACTCTCTCTCTTCTTCTCAGATTTCTCTCGATATTCTTCTTCTTCATTTCAGTGTTCTCTTGCTATTCGATCTCAACCATCTTTTTCTTCTTCTTCTTCATTTCAGTGTTCTGTAGTAGCTTGGATTTAGAAAGTTTCGGAAAAGATTCATCCAATTCGAAATCAAGGTTTGTTGCTCCAAACTGGTCTCAAAGATTTGATGGGATAATCAAATATTGAAGATTGGTTTCTTAATTCTGTTTTTTATAGAAGATTTCATAATTCTGATTTTATTTTATTTCTTAATTCTGGTTCAAAATAGATTTGGAAGTGAGAGATAATGTGACGATATAACTAATCTTTACAATTTTTTGTTGTTTTCAGAAATTTTACTTATTCATTCTCAGATCTGTTTCTCATTGACTAGCATCTTGTCCATATCATTTTGTATACAAACACAATTTTCATTTGTTCTAGCCCATTTGTCCTTAATTTGGTGGATAGAAATTATATGTAAAAAACATGTGGATGTGGTATGTAAAAAAATATCCATATGGACGTGATATGTAAAAAACACGTCCATATGGACGTGATCTAAAACCCGACCTTGGACGTGTTAATGTGTATTCAGTCTGATGCATTTCATTGTGGACGTCTCCACGTGGGTATATCCACGTGTTCTTGTGTACTAAATGTTTTTGGAAAGTCACTAAGCAAGCACCGGCGAAATTTGATTTTTTTTCCACCTGCGCTGGTCATTAACTTTCAAGAATCACCATTTTCAGTTTTAGACTTGTTCATGTGTACTAAACAAGATTAATTTTAATATGGATGCATTATGTGTACAATCAGTTTGTTGTTACCAAAAAATCAACAACTAAAAACATCAAGCAATAAAGAATTTACCTTTCTATAGAATACGGATGATCTATGACTAGATGGATTGTACAATATTGATATGATCGCATCCTCTTCATTGGGTTTTGTCCACGTGGATAAGTCCATCATAAAACTATCGTTTGCTAAATATATAAAGAATAAAAAAGTGAGTTGCATTGACTTTTCTAAATTAATTACCAGCCATGGCTAGACCATAAGAATGTCTTGAACTCATTTAAATGGTTAATTATTATAAGCGTTGGATTTTTTTGTGTCCAAATGGGTGGATAGCCATGTATCCAAGACGATTTATCCACACAAATTTATCCAAATTGCATTATTTACACAAAATTATCTAAAATACATTAAATAATCATGATGACATGAAAATATGTAAATGGATCAAAGATAGGTGTAGATCGAGCATTAAAGAATACAAAATACTATGTTTTTGGTGGACATATACATGGCAAATAAACTCTTTGATTCTGAACAAAGATATTCAAAATCATCAAGCTCGTGTACCTATCAATATATGAGAGTAATTTCCATTGTCTCTGATAGGGAAAATCTTTCATTCATGAACATATACATGACAAATAAATTTTTGTTAAAGTAAGTTAACTTAAATCATGTTCATCCTAAATGCTATGATGTTATATTTTTGTCCAAAAATTATGTTAAATTATCAGTTACCTCAATGGATTTGACCATATTAAGTTTCAAGTACTTACAGTTCATATATGGTCATATATACTGCATATATCCTTTCATCATATTCGATAAGTATACACAAAAGATGGATGTGTAAACACTCTTAAGATTACCAAATTGTTCGGACAAACAAATGTCCACTAAAATTTGCCGGTAAATGATATTGATGTCAAATTATTCTTGTCAAGACATCTATCGGCCAACGTAATAGAGCTTTCCGGCATTGTTATAAGAACAGCTACTCCGGAATCGTTATACTACTATGTTTTACGGCGTCGTTCAGACATGTCCACTAAATTACCCAGGTAACTGATATTGTCGAGAATTTAACCCTGTAAAAACACATATCGGCTGACGTAATTGATTTGTTCCGGCGTCGTTAAAAAACAGCTACCCCAACATCCAAACTAAGGGGCAGATGCGTGCAGCTACCCCAGCCAAGGAAAAAACGGTAAAAGTCGTCTTCTGGCGAATAGAAAATGAAAGAACGGACAAAGAACTCTGTTTCTCGAATATTTTTCTGGTCGGTGGATGCAGAAAAAGACACCGACAAAGATAGAAAAAATTGCTGCCAACATGATAGGTTAACCGTATTTTAGTTCGGTTAACCAACTTAAATTGAACCGGATCTGAATTCAATATAATGGAAGGAAGGACAAAAATGAGGTTTCACGTATGTAAACTTTAAAAAGTGCCATCAGATTTGAAAGTGTCAAATTCTGTAATTAGGAACTCAACGAGTGCCATTTTGTGTAACCAACTCATATTCTAATGGTTTTCTTAGGAATGGAATAAATCATTTATGACTAACCAAAATGTTAGTCATCTCATGATCTCTAAAAAGTTGATAAGAAATTATATAATAATATTACGAGTGGGTTTAATAAATTTGCTTTATTTCCCTACACCCCCCTACACCTTTTGCTTCCCTTCCCAATAATATACAAGAAACTTGTTCATCAAGTATTCTGTCTTGTTTCATTTGTACGTTTTTTAATTGACCATTTAAGTAGTGACATAAGGCAACATTGCAGAAAGTAATATGAGCATCTGACCTTACAGGACAGTTTTTAATCTTATACTCCGTCTTTCGTCTGTTTTCAAATAATACCCCTTCCGAAACGTTAAGTACATTTTTTTTCATTTTTTTTTTGTTAAGTTTTCTGGGTTATTATCTCAATAATCAATACCAATTAGCAATGAGTAATTGGTCCAAAATCCTTATATTTAAACTAATATCCCTCCTAATTTCCAAAGAGAATATTTTCACATGTTCCCTCAAGATAATAACCTATCTAGCCATTAATCTTGACAATGGTTAGACTAATTCAGGTAAGATTGGCCAGACTAATTCAGGTCGGACCAGTTTTGGTTAAGATCGATCAAGCTTCTTTCGATGAGTCAGATCAATTTTGGTTCGGATTAGCAACATGTGTTTGGACTTTGATATTATGTTATTTTTCGTAGGCTTCCTACTCAAAGACAATTAACAATGAAAGGATTGACCTGTCTCTAATATATTACTCAAGATCCCTCTCGACTTACACTGTAAGATATTCTCATACGCTTTCTCTAGATAAGTGTCCTTCTGGCCATTCATCTTGACAATATTCCATCATAGGATTATTTCATGTTAGAGCAACCAGACTAATTCAAGCTGGACTGATTTCGGTTCAGATCGATTGGGACTGATTTCGATTCGGATTGGGCATTGCATGTTCAGGCTCTAATACCATGTTAAGTTTTCGAAACTTCCATCTTAAAACCAATTTGCAATAAATGGACTGGCCTAAATCTTCTAAGGATTCATCTCAAAACACCCTTTCCAAAAACCAACACCACATAAGGATCACTATTCTAATTCCTCAATCTCCTCATCAGACTCACCTGAAAGAAAGGGAGAGAGAAGGGTGAGTAACTGACATTACTCAGTAAGAACTAAACTTAGAACTTATTTCCACATCTGCTCATATTCAACCAACATGCCAAAAATAAATATAAACAAGTAACACACATCATGTTCTACAAGCGCATAAGCAAATAGTAAAAACACAGGAAACCTTTCTCATATCACCGAGCTTTGGCTCCATCTCTCTCTCATTCTCATTTTTATTTTCATTCTCATTCTCATCTCACACATTAGTCACACAGACTTTCT